GAATGAAGAGAGAGGGAGGAGGAACAAAAGTTAGCATGGAAGCTGAGGATGAAGAGAGAGAAGAAGAAGAGGAGAGAGGAAGTGAAGAAGATGACCGCAGAGGTGGCAAAGGTGCAGGAATGTAGAGCGGAGGTGCTGGCCCAACCAGACGATAAGGCCAAGTGGGACAAAGTACTGGGGTATGTGGAGGTGTTGAGCAAGGCCTGGATGGAGGAGCGCCAGGCAAGCTGGAGYCAGGATGTAGCGTTGAGTGCCATGCGGTCAGGGTTTAGAGATTTYGCGCGCGAGTTCGTCACCCATATTGGGGGCGAAGTGAAGCAATTGAGAGATAATGTAGGGAAGTTTTGTGAGGGTGTCATTCAGGGTGCCAAAGCTGTAGCCGCTGTAGAGGGAGAGGCCAGACCCCATAAGGATCCAGTGAAACTCAAGTTCCCAGATGCATACGGGGGGAAGAAGGAAGAAAACTTTGACAACAAGGAAGCTAGTGTCAATAATTATATTTATTTGCAGCATATCTTGATCGAGGAACAAGTCCTTATGGCCTTCCAGGCCCTCAAAGATGAAGCGGCTAGTTTTGCCAGGTCTCTTGCGCGTACAGCCGGTTGTGAAAACAACCTGGTTGCATATTTCAAAGTTACTCCTCTTTCTCAATTCCTCAAGCTCCTCAAGGAGCGGTTCGCTGACCCAACGCGAGGCATTAGAGTCTCTGATAAGCTCCAAACGATCCACTCGCGGCAATGGAGGAGTGCAAAGGCACTCAAGAGTACTATGGCCGACTTGGTAGCCGTCCCTGACCACGGGGTCACCGAGCCCCAGTTGGTCAAGTTGTTTTATCGTGCCATCCCTTAGACCCTACGCGGGCATTTCTTTGACAAGTCTCAGCAGGCCGACATCACATATGATCAATTGAGTAGGGAGGTCGTCCTGTATGAGTCAAAGTCTATGCCAGTTACCACTTTCTGGCATAAGGACCTGGAGAAGGGGAAGAAGTGGAAGAATCGTACTATCTCAGGCCAAGTAAAGGCCAAGGATCACATGATCCTAACGTTAGAGCAAGTTGGTACTGATGAGGTCCCGTATGATCACATTGAGTGGGGCCTCGAAGATGATGGCAGTAGTGTGGGGCAGGGGAGGTCTTATGCTGCTGTCGCGACCGGAGGGAGGCCGCAAGGTAGAGGAGGAGGCCAGGGCCAAAGGGGCCAGGCCATGGGAGGCCGAGGACCGGGCGCACAGGGGGTTGGCGGACAAGGAAACCGCCAGGCGGGAGGTAGGGGTCAAGGTCCCCCGTTAAATCGCCAGGGTAATCGGTCCCCACAACAAGGAGGTGAAAGGGCGCCTCAAGGAGGATGGCACCCAGGCTTGCCGCAGGGTAGGACCTGGGAAGATCTGGGCCTGGACCAACGCTTATGGCAGGAACGCGTGAACATGGGTCAGTGCGTATTCTGTGGTGACCCGGCCCACGTTATCAAATTTTGTCCAAAGTATAGTCAGGCCCGTTGGGCTGCCCAGCAGTCAAAAGGAAGCCGCCAGTAGGGGTCACAACTGCCCCTACTTCAAGGCCATGTGGAGAAGTGAGCGCGCGCGAACAGGACACTCCCAACCCACATGAGCTTATGGCAGAGGTTGCAGGCCCGTGCCTAGATAGCTGTCCGGAGACTGCTTGTGTTAGC